AGAAGTTATTATTATTCAGTCTCTTTACATTCGCACTATTGTCCTCATCTTTGTTGTTATTATCCCCTAATCGCCTTCTGACTGAATTTCTGGGTTGAGGAATTATCATTATTTACACTATTTATATTCGAACTATTGTCCTGATCTTTGTTGTTGTTATCACAATATTTCGGACGTTGTGCCTAACGGCCTTCTTCGGGTGTATATCGATATGGTTCACTTACTGGGAATTCTGAACTAAATAATTTGTTTAATGTACGGGTGTAACTGTCTAAGGACATCGTCTTGTTCTTATTTTTATTTAGTATTGTTCAATTATTTCTAGAAGTTATTGCTTCCACTGAGCATAAAAAAATACACTGCGTAATCGAGGGATTGAACTCACAACCACTATATCACCAAATTCTTTTCCCACTATGTCATAATCCCGTAGAACAATTTGCAGAAGTAAACTTAGACACTTATACTTAAACTTAACCGCTGATTAGGCTGCAACTGCTGAGTCGGCTATTACTTCGTCTTTCATGTTTTGACTACAGCAGCTGTAGTTGAAGACCTACTGTCATTTGCCCGATTTCTTTATTAGCGGCTCCCATATTGTATACACACCCGGGGAATACCCAGAAATTCATTCCTCAAGGACACATGGCACAGTGGATAAAGGCATTGGTTAAATCCAGTGACAGGAGCCAAAGAGTGGGTTAAGGCAGTGGAGAACTTGGAGAGAGGAATTAACAGGAGATAACTGATAACTGACATCCATTAAACATGACACGTGGAACTAGAACAGTCTACCCCAGTGAGCGAAATAAAGGGTTCAGTTCGACATTCCAACCACCTGAAGAAGGCCGGAGCATACAACGGCCGAAACGTTGTAATAAATATGGCGACAAAGATGAGGACAACAGTCCGAATAATGTAAATAGTCTTAATACTTTGTTTAGCTTTTCGAATGCATATTTCGCTATTCTAATGTGCCTTTGGATTTTGATGTTACAACTTCCGGCCTCTGTTAAAACACTTTGCTGAATTTTGGTGCCCTTAATTTGCAATTCACATATTGAGCTCTTCTTTCCGCTGACAACGATAAATACTGTTTTCTTGGAATTGACGCTTAGTCCTTTCTTCTCGCTTTCCTTCCCTACCTCCTGTAGGTGATTTTAAAGTTTCCTTTCCGTATCTGTAGAGGACCGTCGGGCCGGGGGTGATGAAGATGAAAAGAAAACACGTGCGTTTATATTCCCTGCTAGAAGGTCCAGCTACAATATGAAAATGTCGAACTCGGATTAAGTCCAACTGAAGATAAAGGAGACAAACAAACAAGACCGATATATATTAAAACAAAATATGTGTATTAACAACACATTACAATGCACATAGACAGTTAACATTGTGTGTGAACATTTGTGTGTGTGTGAACGTTCGTATTGCTGTGAATGTTTGTAATGTTCATAGCGTTTTCCCAGAAATGGGAAACGCTGATCTTCTAAGAGCTTACATCTTGTCACTGAAATGAAGAAGAAAGAGAGATGTACCTCACCTCCACGCGAGGTGGGATTCGGCACGAGGACTGACGGAAATAAGAGATCGAGGCAAGGGATCGCCCGGTATTTATAGCATGGGGATAGAGACCCCTGGTGGAGAATTTGGGAAGTGAAATACGACAATCTGCTATCAACACTGTGTCATCTTCATATCTTCTGTTGTTAAGATAGTGGCCGCCAATAAGTAATCCTGGCAAGAATTCTAATTCTCTCAGAATCACCTCACTGTAATTGTTGGATAAGTCTGGCGCGAAGACACATCCTTGTCTTACACTATTCTATTTTTGTGTATTTACTGAATTCATTTTCTCTCCGCTTACAGACGGTTTTCTCCCATTATAAGTTCTAGATTATTCTAACAGAACAGGAAAACAATGCATTTTCTACTTAATGTAATCGAACAGAACAATTATTAGGATATATATTGATTGATTGATAGATTCGTTTTTTTACGGCTTATCAACAGTTACAGTTTATTTAAAGTCACAAAAATATTTTTAGTCTGTAATTTTTTTTTAGATATGAATACTTTTGTGATCCAAGTCTTACTAATTAACCCATAGCTTGGGGTAGAATATGTGGATTCCTACCTTTCCCAAGGTTATTTGCGCGTAAGGGAATATAACAAACCAAACAGGAAATGGAATTAGGCTTCCCAACTAACAATTCTTTGCCATTATCCATTATGTCACCCTCATATCCATGCTTACTTCACCTCACTCGTTCTGGGCATGACGATAAACTACATCTGCTTCCTGGGTAAGACGATAAACTACATCCGCGGCCTGGGTATCACGATAAACTACATCCGCGTCCTGGATAAGACGAGAAACTACATTCATGGGCTGGGTATCACGATAAACTACATCCGCTTCCTGGGTAAGACGATAAACTACATCCGCGGCCTGGGTAAGACGATAAACTACATCCGCATCCTGGATAAGACGATAAACTGCATCCGCGTCCTGGGTAAGACGATAAACTACATCCGCGTTCTGGGTATGACGATAAACTTCATCTGCGTCCTGGATAAGACGATAAACTACATCCGCGGCCTGGGTAACACAATAAACTACATCCGCTTCCTGGGTAAGACGATAAACTACATCCGCGGCCTCGATATGACGATACACTACATCTGATTCCTGGAGAAGACAATAAACTACATCCGCGGCCTCGGTAAGACGATAAACTACATCCGCGGCCTCGGTAAGACGATAAACTACATCCGCGTCCTGGGTATGGCGATAAACTACACCCGCGTCCTGGGTATGACGATAAACCACATCTGCGTCCTGGGTAAGACGATAAACTACATCCGCGCCCTGGGTATCACGATAAACTACATCCGCATCCTGGATGAGACGATAAACTACATCCCACAGCAAGGCCTCTGATCAGGAGGTTTTGAGGAGGGTGGAACCACCTCTTAATTGCTGGTGTTTCGAGGTCCACCCCGACCCGGGGTGGTAGCACCTGTTAGGGTCGAAGCTATGGGCAAATAGTTAACCCCTAAACTGGTTTCAAAACACTATGAAAGTGGAAAAAATATTTTAATACCAGAAATATTTGCATAGAAATTATTACAAGCAATGAATTTTTTAAGAAAATTTATTACCATCAATACATTTTTGAAAAAAATTACCAGATATATATTTACAAAATTAAAATTAATTTACACTAAAAATCACGTCGGCATTAAATAACCCATTGTGGATAATATGCCGTTAAACAAAATAAACCAAAGAATATATATTCTATTCACACGAACCTATCCTAAAAATCTTGTTGGCATTAAATAACCCATTGACGTTGATAGGCCGTAAAACAAAATAAACTAAACCAAATCTCCTACAAACTGATTTCTTACAAAGAATATATACTCTATTCATGCGAACCTACCCTAAAAATCTTGTCGGCATTAAATAATCCATATGCCTTTAAACAAAATAAACCAAAGAATATATATTCTATTTATACGAAACTATCCTTAAAATCTTGTTTGCATTAATTAACCCATTGAGGTTGATATGCTGTAAAAAAAAAAAAAAAGAACTACACCTCGCACTTCCAAATTGTCACCCATCTAGGTAATGGACATTTTTGACGTTGCTTAACTTCTGTGATCGTACGGGAACAGATCTTTCAGGATGATGTTGCCGTAAACCCAGATATAGCAAAATAACAAATTTTACTAAGTGCGACAAAGTACAGGAAGTTGTAGAGAGCCATTTTCGCCCACGTTCTAAAAGGACACGGTTCATATAAGATATTTACTAACTACATAGGAGCCTGGTATAAAACCACTTTTATGGATACCCTTAAATTTGTTACACTAGTTATAGCCGATAAAACTAGCTTACAGATCGTGGTTGTCTGATTCCTAGCCTCTAGTCATTCAAGGAGATTTTTGCTGGATTTAAAATGCTCTAAGCAATTATGAATTGCTACATAAATTATCCTGATATTTTAAGCCGTTCGTGCAAATATTTTCCAGTGCACCTTTCTTTCTACGTTCCACCAACTCCTCGATCTCTACCGCCTGCTGATTGCTAACTGCTCTCTCTGTAGGTAAGTGAAGGCGTACCGGTCAAACTTAATAGCATCACCGCGACTGGGAGTGGGCACCCTACTGTTTCTTACTCGCCCATTGATTGCCTTGTTTACGCTTGAGAGCATGAAAGTTACCTCCACTTTTCAATGGATTGTTCCCTTGTTAAGTGGATGGCTCGTCCCCCGGCAACAAGACCTCTTGGAGTTGTTGCTGGTAGTTCTACTCAGAGATCTCCAGCCCCGCAAAAATGGAGAGGAGTTGGGTTGGCCGTAAAAAAGCAAACAAAAAAATCAAGTAATAGATTAAAAAGCGAAAAGTGGATTGGCGGGTGGCTTGACATCAGACGTAGGATTTGTTTGAGTTTTCTTGGGGTGTTGGATTGTATTCTTCGAAATTTCACCAGCAGGTACTCTTTACTTGGCTATTTGATAAGGATCAGGTCAGGTGGTAAGAAATATAAACAAAACAACAAAAAAATTATGGAAATACGGTAGAACAAAATGGTGGCTAATATGTCTTCTTTTTTTTTTAATTCGGAGTTTAAAACTCAATATTCTCTATTACGTTTAATTTATTTTATTTTTTATTTTAGATATTCTGATGTTTGTAGATGTTATTTTAAAAGACTTAAAAAGTGAACACTTTTTGTTCTGTTTAATTCTTCTTCTTCTTCTTCTTCTTCTTACTGTTGTTGTTGTTGTTGGAGTCGCCGCCATTTTCCCGACGCAACTCTTAAATATTAAAAGAAAGTGAAGAAGAAAATGGATTCAAACGACAACATGACTCGACTCACAACTCAGATCACGGCTTTTAGGTACCTGCTTTAAAGGTACCTGTTTTAAAGGTACCTGCTTTTAAGGTACCTGCTTTAGGGACAAAGCAAAACTGAGTGTTAACTCTTA